CCCTGCACCAATGTCGCAATCTCACAGAAAGCCATCAAGGCGCATAGTGCCCTGCACCAATGTCGCAATCTCACAGAAAGCCATCAAGGCGCATAGTGCCCCGCACCCATGTCGCCGTCTCAGTGGATCACACACCTAACACAGTATATTCAAAGTAAACACAGTATGTCATAATTTTACCCATAAAGAATCTATACAGTCTTTTCTACCCCCTGTAATGTTTGACGTTATCGGCTGACTTCCCCAGGATCCCACACAGGAATAGTTGAATTATTGAGATTTATTTATTACCGGTGTGATTTATTTACTATAAATTTATAACTTTGCTAGATTAAAAAGAAACATACAAGGTGATTTGATTAATACATACCCATAATACACCTGCAGGTCATTCAGGAAGCAGATTTACATATAAACTTCAGTACAGGTCAAACATTTGAGTACACCTGCTTGAAGCCATAATCATATATGCTTTAGATTCTGTACACTTGTCAATTAGTATAAGTGGAAGTTTTATGGACTAACAAATCAATATTTAGTTCCAATAATTGTGTATTTGTATATGAATGAAGGAGGCAATGACAGGAATCAGACCCACAGCAAAATTACCAAAACAAATGGCAGCGGAATCCAGCACTTTTTCTTCATTTTCATGTACTTACAGACATTTTTGAAAAATTTTCCAGCTGCTTAAATAAATCTTTTGAATGGTACTGCCATCTGTCCATTCATCCATCCATCCATCCATCCAGTGCAGGTTCATTGGGGTAAACTAAATCAGTAATGAATAATTTAACTGAATAATTCTATACACATCTGATCTGACCAGCATTCACTAAGCACTATGACATACACCATGACATTAAACAAATCTGCGTTTTTAAATCCTGGTTTAATCGTGGTTCTGCTGGCAGAAGGCTACGCTGAGCAGCAGGTTGCTTCTACTCTCAAAATTTCTAAGACAGCAGTACACAAGAACACGGGGAAGCAGGAGACACTGGGAACGACCAGAAACCAGCCAGGTAAAAGGCGGAAGCAACATTGTAATGCCAGAGATGACCGTCAATTTATCCGACAGTTTCTCATGAATCGCAGGATGACATCAAGTGACCTTCAAAAGGAATATGAAACATTAAGTGCAGGTGTGAAGTGCACTGCTAGGGGAGTTTGTATCAGGCTCCTAGAAGCAGGACTGAAGTCCCATGAAGAGAGGAAGAAGCCCTTCATTAATGAGAAACAGAGAAGAACCAGGCTGCAGTTTGCAAAAAAATATATTATTCACAGACGCACACCCTTAAACTGAGAATTGAGTGAAACAAAAAATTGTGCACTGGTATCGTAATTTTTTCCAGGGCTGTACGTCCTCTAAGCGCTTTTATTAACTCATGGTATGCATTGGTATTTGCATGTTTCTTTTCATTATTTGTATTAATTAATCCATTCACCCAATCATCTTTCAGCTGCTAGTCCTGAGCAGCATAACTGTGGGTCTGGAGTCTGTCCTGCGCAGTATGTGGTGTAAAGCACATCCTAGGTAGGATTACAGTGCATCGCAAGATACATACACACCTAAACTCCCATAGAAAATCACCAATTTAGAGATGAATATGAGTTTTAATTTTAGGGTTTAATTGATCCCTTCACACTTTTCTCATTTAGATATTGCTTGAAACCACTCTCCCCATAGGAAATGCATGACGGGTGATTTTTAAAATATTATACAGAAAAATAACATAAAACCAGACAGCCAACTTGCAGTGTATCCGGGAGAGAATACAAAATCAGGATTTAGAAAACCAAGCAGCTAGACATCTGATATTACAGGAAAATCATTTTTCCTACTTCTTTTCTTTGGAAAAATAAAATCTGTGGTCTGTCCTTCAGCTATAGTGAAAAGCCATTATAGAGGGATGTTAACTTTCCATATGGACATAAATCCAGAGTCTGCTCAAGGGACATCCCTGCCGCTAGGAAGAGCAGACTATGGACACATTTACAGGGTTGTCTTTCTTCCTGCACAACAAAGCACCCTTCAAGCAGAATCAGACCTCAGCTGGGAATCACAGATTGGGCTTCCAGGTGTGAATCCATCATTGAGCTGAAGGGACTGAACATTAGAGTTAAAAGTAGAGTTACGGAGAATTACACTTCATGTTAGCATTAGAAGTAAGGGTTAGATACAACATTAGCATTAGGAATGACATTAGGGCTGGAGCTAGAGTCAGAAATGGAGCTGTCATTAGGGTAAAACCTCTCGCCACATGAGGCCGGGTATCGTCGTGCACCAGGAGGAACCCAGGGCCCACTGCACCAGCGTAGGGTCTGACAATGGGTCCAAGGATTTCATCCCGACACCTAATGGCAGTCAAGGTGCCGTTGTCTAGCCTGTAGGGGTCTGTGTGTCCCTCCATGGATATGCCTCCCTAGACCACCACTGACCCCCCACCAAACCGGTCATGCTGAACAATGTTACAGGCAGCATAACGTTCTCCACGGCTTCTCCAGACCCTTTCACATCTGTCACATGTTCTCAGTGTGAACCTGCTCTCATCTGTGAAAAGCACAGGGCGCCAGTGGCGGATCTGCCAATTCTGGTATTCTATGGCAAATGCCAATCGAGCTCCCCGGTGCCGGGCAGTGAGCACAGGGCCTAGTAGAGGATGTCGGACCCTCAGGCCACCCTCATGAAGTCTGTTTCTGATTGTTTGGTCAGAGACATTCACACCAGTGGCCTGCTGGAGGTCATTTTGTAGGACTCTGGCAGTGCTCCTCCTGTTCCTCCTTGCACAAAGGAGCAGATACCAGTCCTGCTGATGAGTTAAGGACCTTCTACTGCCTTGTCCAGCTCTCCTAGAGTAAGTGTCTCCTGCAATCTCCTCCGTGCCCTTGAGACTGTGCTGGTTTCCTGGTCCCCATAAGGGAAAACTGTATTTTATAAAAATCAGTGACTGCTATGAAAAAACTAAAAATGCAAAAACTCTTGTATTTTGTTAGGTTATAGTTATGGTTAGGGCTGGGTAGGGGTTAAGGTTGTCATAGTTAGCGTTAGCATTTTTCCCATTGAAATGAATGAGCGGTCCCCATAAGGATATGTTTACCCTACATGTGTGTGTGTGTGTGTGTGTGTGTGTAAATGGGATATATTTCAAGGCAGAGGTGCTGCTTCTGTTTGCTGGATTTGTTATGGTGCAAATAAAGCTGACTGGTCACATGGGTGTGAACAGTGTGAAATTGTTTTGTTAACTAAACATTAGTATCTAAATT